TAGTTTGCTTTTTGTAAATGTTTTCGCTTCTTGGGGTGCCCATAGGGTTGCCACCTTTTCAGGCTTTACATAAAGTATTTCTCGACTAAAAGGTTAAAAAAAAGTACTCAGCATAAAAATAAAGTATTTTATTTTTTGTTTTTAAACATTTTTTTTTGTTACACCTAGCAGCCAGTAACAAATTGCTGTCGCTCTTAAATACATTAATAGCCTCTAAACATGGCAAACAAAGATCTAAGTAAACTAAAAGTTCATTTTTAAGTAGTTTTAATGAAGCTTTGTTCCTGTAGTCCTGCCACTTTACGTTCATAACAGAGAATACTCTTTTTGTAAATGCTGAAGTGGTCGGAACGGACAGCAAAAGTGACACTACCTTGAACAGATTTGGGAAATCAGGTTGTTACGTAAATATGGCTTGCTATTTTTTCTTTGTAATATTATTGATGTAAAAGTACTCTGAATTTCGAATAATCGCTTACAAAATTACGATGTTTACTGAAGGCCTTAAATAAAGTATTTTTGCGTACTTTATGTGTCTTGTGAAGTATAACGTACTCACAGTCGAGATAGAGTACAATACCTTATAATTAAGTACGGATGGCAACCCTAGGTGCCCAGCAGGGGCGAAACAACGTTACAAGTGAATTAAAATACTTGAAAAGATCAAGTTCGGCTGCTCTTTTACGAGCTTGAACTATTTAAACCGAACTTTCAAGTTGGGTTATTATCTGAATTTTCTAGAACTGATTGGGTGCCCAAATCAATCGAGTGGGTGCCCGGGCACCCGTGGACGCACCCTTGTTGCGCCCTTGGTGCCCAGTATATAGAATGTCTTAACTTAAGTATATGTAAGTCTTAAAAATGGAAAAAATAATAAAAGAAAACATCACGTAGTTCGCAATCCTTATAGTCTTAGACTGACATGCCAACCTCGTCCTGGTTACTGCTGTAATATGTTACGATAACTCCGTCAAAAGAACCATTCCGCGTTGACCGTTTTTCCCATTAAAACGAAGAAAATAGCCTTCTGTCTTCGTTTAAAAATAAACCGGGATGATAAGGATCAAGGTCAGAAAAATAGACCCAATTTTTCGATCGTACTTGACCCTAACACAGCGCACTGTATTGTATTATGGCTGGTATCGCAGGTACAGCCTTACAGCCACGACTTTCATGAATTATGGTACTGATCAGGGGTGTTGATACGTATTAAGCGGAGACTAGCATGAACCGTATAAAGTGTAAACAAAAATGATTTAAAACTAGTGAACTAGCGGACTTACACTTAGGTATAACAGCAAAGGTTAAAGGATTAAAGTTATGATTTTGACGTAAAGAATTGAAAACATATAATAAGAGTATGTATCTGTACCGATTTTTACTAAAAGTACAATCAAGCACTCGCGTAAGTTTGATATTTTAAGGTCCATATACCAAAATTGGAGAACGAGCACGGCCGAGGTAAAACGAGGTGTAACGAACACATTTACTCGTTAGTTCTCGGTGATCCATACGAGGCGTCTCTTCTGCCTGGTCTTACCTCAAATGTGTTTAAAACACTCGCCGTAGGTGTGGCCTTTTGAGGTCCTCATATGTAAATCTGAGAACGAGCATAATCTAGGTGAGACGAGGCGTAACGAACACATTTACTCGATTGAACCCGAGGTTGTCCGGATTCCACCGTTTCGGATAGGTGCTTCAAAGAGAATTTGATTTGGGTCGTCTTATTAATAAATATTTAATCGTCGTCACGAGTTATTGTCTACTAAATTAGTATGAAATGAAATTAATGACTACCGCGTTCGTAGCCTCGGTCGATCTCGGTAGTTCTAGGTGATAAAGACGAGGCATCTGTTCTGCCTCGCCATGCCTCGAGTGTGTTTAAAACGCTTGCTGTAGGTGTGGCCTATTGAGGTTCATGCACGTAAATCTGAGAACGAACATAGTCGAGGTGAGACGAGGCGTAACGAACACATGTACTCGGTTTAATCCGAGGTTGTCCGGATTCCATCGTTTCGGGTAGGTGCTTCAAAAAGAATTTGATTTGCGTCGTCTTATTAATAAATATTTAATCGTCGTCACCAGTTATTGTCTACTAAATTAGTATGAAATAAAATAAATGACTGCCGCGTTCTTAGCCTCGGTCGACCTCGTTAGTTTTCGGTGATGAATACGAGGCATCTGTTCTGTCTCGTCATGCTTCGAGTGTGTTTAAAACGCCTTCTGTAGGTGTGGCCTATTGAGGTTCATACATAATCTGAGAACGAACACAGTCGAGGTAAGACGAGGCGCAACGAACACAGTCTATCCCAAGGCTGCCCGAATCCCATTCGTTTCGAGTTGCCACTCTAACGGGAATTTTATTTGATTTGATGTGGACGACTTTTGTGAATTAACACAAAGCCTCATTTGAGTCACTTTATTAATAATAAATAGTCATCATTAGTCATTATGTTCGTTGTCTCGGCCGACTTCGTTCGCTTTTCGTTTTTAGTTCCCGGATGTAAAGTCTTTCTTCTGAAGACGGATCTGTAGGTCGAAACTTGGGAAAAATTATAATAAATTAAGTGAAAGTTTTCAAAAAGTATTTTTTTGAAAAATATCAGTAGGAATCTACCTAACATTTATAGAAGTTGCGCTATCATATGTGTGTAGTTACTAAGGTTTCTGATTCGTTTAATTTCACTTTGTTATTGTGAAGAAATTCACAGTTTCCCCGTTCTCATACGTTTTCACTTAATTATTAATTGGGTCTATTTCATACAAAAAAAATTCTTTCGCCATCAGTTGAAAGTGCAACTTTGCAAATTACTCAATTTATCGTCCATTTTCTCTCATTCTGCAGCATATTAAAGTGTAACTAATTCCACAAAATTATGTATGTTATCGCCACTGCACAGTATGTAGATACTTAATTATTAAGTGGTGATTAAAAAGTGTATCTTTCAGTTCGGTTTCACGCACTCATGAACTGATTTTACGGTTACTACGTGTAGTTAGTTGCTCCAAGAAAAATATTATGCACTCCGGTACAATAACAACTGTTGTTTGTGTACTGCAGAGCATGAAATTTTTCAACTAAGTGCATCCGTGACTAATGGGATCATTATTTCGAAAACAAAAGAGCAATTCAACTTCTTACTCTTTTTCTGTTATTTCTGTAACTGGCGCAATTTTTAAAAACAATATAACGTATGCAGCCCGAGATAAAAATGTTCAGTCTATCAGAGTCTCTGAAAGCGAGACTCGAGTCTCCGTCTCTCATCGAGTCTCTCAGGTGTCGCTGAGAGTCGAGAGACTGTCAAAAAAACTGTTTAGCGTCTCTGAAAGAGAGACTCGAGTCGCTCATAGAGAGATCCTCATTTCATATCCAGTCTCTGAACGAGAGACTCGAATCTCTAAACGAGAGACTCGAATCTCTGAACAAGAGACTCGAATGTCTGAATGAGAGACTCGAATCTCTCAATAAGTGGTGTTTCGATAGACATGGTTAAAAGTTTCCAAGTTCAATATATTTCAGAGATCCCAATCTTTCCATGAGAGACTCGAGTCTCTCAAATTTTCAGTTTTATTCACTCAGACTCGAATCTCTGAATTAACAATTTTATCGTTCGACTCTCTCATACAGAGACTGTGAGAGATCCATAAAAACACCTAGACAATAACTGAGAGACTGTGAAAGACTGTTAGAGACGCTCTCATAGACGCTGAAAGACTCCGAAAGCTCTGAGAGATTAAATATTTTTTTTATTGCATGTTTTATTAGACAAATTCAATTTTTTTGTTATATTTCCGTTCGACAATGCTTTTCCATTTGTCCGATTGGAAGACGTGAAATTATTGCTGTTGTAGGTCAGTAATGTTAATCGTTAAATTTATCTTTATAAATAAGCAAACGGTATGCGACATACGGCATATTGTTAATTGATATATGCTTATTATTACTTCGACATGGCGTAGAGTATGTTAAATAGAGGACTTGCCATATTAAAGGATTTAAATTTATTCGGTAATAATTGCATTTAAAATACGACCGCTGGTATTGCTTTGTTGTTCAGTACGTACAAACAATTATATTGCTAGACCAAAATGATCCGAGTAGGTGTACGTACTATTTATTACACGAATAAGAAATTAACATACTTCAATATTTATTACTCCTTTTGTGCATGGACAAACAGTTGCTCACTAGATTTCTGCTATATTTAAACACAACACCATTATTTACAGTTTGTCCCAAATTTATTAAGGGGAAACTCCTTTTAACCAGAGTCGGGCAAATTCGGCTCTTTTGACTCCCGAGTGCTCTTCAGGTATAGCCAAGGAGCTCCTCATTGCTCCTGCGAGTGCGAGTGAGATGATTCTTTCTTTTCTTATCCCTTCCATTTCGTAGGTGAGTCCCCTCTTCCACAGTTGAACCTAATAGTATTGCGACCGTAGTCCGGCATGCTACCCCTGAGCTGAGGGACGATCATTAGAAAATTTTCGTAGGTATTGAATAAAATAATTCGAAGTGGTTTATATTTTGATGAAACTGTCAGACGAGGATCGCGATTTTGATCTTATTGGATCTCATCAGCGCGTCGCAGACAGCTCCGACAGAACACAAACCGACTTTTACCTGTTGTGTTAACAGCGCGTTTTAGAAAATACCACAATGGCGCGGTAAACGCCATCTGTAGTATGATGCTACATTTTAGGATTACGTATCCTCCAACAAGGTCCATTTGTATGGATATCTACTTGCTGAAACGAATCCCGGCGTAGCTAACCTCAACGTGATAGGCACGTTACCATAATCGAATAAAATAATTCGAAGTGGTCTGTATTTTGTCGAAACTGCCAGGCGCGGATCGCGATTTCGATTTTTTTTTTTGGATCTCATCAGCGCGTCGCAGACAGCTCGTAGGTATTATTTAAGTTGCGAGAGAGGCTTCGCTCGTCTACGGGATAGAGGGGTTTGATATGGGAGTGGAAGGGAGAAAAAAAAGAGAAAGCAATATGGGTCATTACTGCTTACTCTCTCGTACTCATCGAAAGGTATGAAGTGACCCAAATTAACCTCAGTTAGCAGCTCCTACGAAGTTAAAGTTTGCCCGGCTCTGCTTAAAACTGTTACAAAAATACAAAATCACTCATTATTAGTTTCTATCAACAGCCCTGCAGGCTCCTTTGAGTCCTTGCTCCTGGGCCTCAGTGTTCGTCAATTTGATGGAGCCAATTCTTATGAATTCTTATTAGTAAAACCTTAGTTATCTTTTGTCCAAATTCTCATTGTGTGACATGGTGTAAATGTAACATTAAGGGTTTCGATAAGTAAATGAAGTAGTTATGAGGCGTCATATATATATAAATTTTACAAGGAAGTGTTTGGGGTCAGGGTGGATTTTTAAATGGCGCAACCCTTTCCAGGCTAATCATATTCCGTTCAGATACGCGCCATTGTTTTCTACTTAACTGTCAACTCATACACAAGTAATATATCAACCCCTAACTGACAGAACAAAGAAACTTTTTTTTTTGCTTGCAATCACTTCATTCGTAAGATGTATCTATTCATCATCAAATAAATAATGGCGTCCGTATTAAAATGAGAAAAGAAATTCGTAATTTTCGGATTTTTAACATATTTTGTACACAAGTACAGTGGAAAGGATAAAACAAACCCTCGTCCCTCTTTTTCAATTACTCTTACTTTCATTCGAAGACTTATGTATTAAATTAATTATTCGCAGAAAAATAAACATTGGGCAGTGCTGTTATAGAATAGTTATGTATAAAATATACGATATTCGTTAGATATTACGATAAAATCGAGAAGCGCCGCATTATTAAACAATAATGTGACTATTTAAAAACAAGTGAAAAGATGAGAACGCCCGAGGGTGGTTCCCCTCGGCGTGTTGGCAAGCATTACCAGAAAGAATTGGAGTTGCATTATCTAGCGCCCGGTGCTTTTACCGTCATATCACCAGATAAATTGGGACAACCTCCCAAGGATCTTCCCGAAACTGCCACCACCTTCAGGTAGGATAAGGCTTTTTACACTCGAACAGATAGTAAAATATTATCTGCAATTTGTCATTTTCAATACCATTTTATTTTCTCCTTTTTTTGCAGATTAAGTCCAAATAAAAAAAGAAGAAAAAATGCATCCTTCACAATCCTTGCAGAACCCGAGATCAGCCAACCAAACTCTAGAAGTTCTTCACCTTCGGGAAGACTTAGTCCGTTCAAAGGACGAGGCTTTAACCCAACCGGATCCCGTTTGGCATCACCAACAGGATCCCCAGTACCACCTCAAGATGGCCAGCTTAAGTCGGCACCCCATTCGCCCAAGCGGTCACAAATACCAACATTTCAAAGAAGAGGTAGCTCCGCGGGCGTTGTGTTTGGAGAAAAGGTCTATCCCGATCCAAAACCTTTAGCCAAACACAATGATCCACAGGGACTCAGCAAAAGTTTAAGCAGCATTTCGACTAAGCGGGTACATTATAAACCACCCCCGGGCCCCAGGAGGACCCAGAATACTTCTTATAGGCAGTCTGCCTACACCAGATTGTCACCAATAACCGGTAGTTCTCCAGAAACGGTTCCAGATCTTCCTAAACAAAATCAGTCGTCTTCCCCGTCGAAAATACCTCGTTCTAGAAGCACCCCACCTAGTAGAAGCACGTCACCACCTGGAAGCAAGCAACCTTCAAGAAATGCTTCGAGAAATGTATCAAGAAATCCGTCTAGAAATCCGAGCAGGGATCCCAGTCCGGCGTCCAAAAACATTGTGAATAATGTGCCTGTTAGGAACAATTACAAAAATGTGAAACCTAAGGTAAACACTTTTAACACTGCTAAACCAAAAGTGCCTTCAAAACCACAAGTGCCTTCCAGCAAAACCAACACTACCGATCGGCAGAAAAACGACACCAAACCAAATTATCTTAGGAACAATAAAGTCTCTCCAGCGACCAAAACTGATGTTACTACTAGAAAACCCATGGCGAGAAAGAATAGTAAGAACGCAATAGAACCATCTTCCAATGGTATGAGTAAAACAGCATCGAATAATAGCCAACCAGTTGAACAAGTGAATGAGAATAGTCTTTCCAAAAATGGAAAAGCAACAGCGATTAAAGATGAAAAGTCAGAACACGCTAATGGTGAAGAAGATGATGTAGAATTAACCGATGTCGACAATGGACAAAGAACAACAACTAGTACCATTAGGAACGGTTCCAAGGAAACCCATTCTAAAGTTGTGGATGCCCTGGGGAATATCAAAAAGGTGGACATTCTTACTCTTCCTTCCGATAGCACTCCTCCTCCTTCAGCGGCAGTACCAAGTGTCACCCAAACGGTGACCAAACCCATATTAGCTTCTGATTTATTGTCAGAAGTATTACAAGATTCGGACGGGGAAATTGGTAATTATTTACCTGACGCCAGAAATTTGAGTTCTTCCAGCGTTTCCACAGCGTTAAATAGAATGAACAATACAGTTCTTGATTCAAAAACTGTTTTAAAAGAAAGGACTATATCCCCGGCTGTGAGGGCAGTGATGAGATTCAAAAAGGGGAGCCAGGACAGATCAAGTTCCGGAGAAAGCAGGTCAGGGAAGTCTACCGAAAAACCCAACACTTCGGATAGCACTTCCAAAGTAGAAATAAAGCCAGGAGTAGAAGAACAGAAAACTGTAGTTGCTACTCCAAAATCAGAAGGTAATGGAAACAATAATGGGGCAGTCCAAAACCAGACCAATATTATTCACCATAATGGCACAACAAATAGTACCAACAACCACAATAACAATAATAACGTAAAAGATAGTATGAGTGCTTTCAACAATAACAATCAAAGTAATACTAATAACCATAATAATAATAGTTTTCTAAATCGGATGGAAAATGTGACCGGTGGTGGTTTAATAGCGAATAGCGATAAGGACACTAAGCAATCTATTGTGAGTGAACGAAAGTTTGGTTCAACTGAGCCGTCAGCTGGTGTGACGGTGATTAGTGTGGGAAACGATAAAACAAAAATGGCTCGCACAGTGGTTGTGACTGACGTTAAACCGATCCATATAACTGTAAGGGAAAAGCCGAGTTCCGAAGTCGAAGGTGGAAATCTCATAGTGGCTGACAACACTAGCAATGGACTTGGAGAAAGATCAAGGTAAGATTCTTTTATTGAGGGCTACTTTAGGGACACTTTGAATTTATTGTAGTGTTAAATTTAATGCTTTAGTGAATTAACTTTATTCACTACAAAAACCCGCGCCCCTAGTTTTACGTAGTTAGTGAACCAGAAGTCTGGGTTCGGTTCCCGACGAGGGAGTGACAGCAGTAACAGTTTTTCCCCATTAATTGGATGCTGAAACTGTAGAAATAGACCTATAAGGGCAAAAGATTAGTATGCTTAGATTTGCAGATGATATAGCAGTATTAGATTCTAGTTCGAAGGAGTTAGTGATAACTTTAGCTAAAATGGAAGGGGTATTGACAAAATACTTTTGTATAAAAAAAAAAAATAAAAGTAAAACAAAAATACTGGTATGAAAGGGAAGGGAAAGTAGGGAAAGAGCAAATATAATGATAGAAGGCGAAAAATTAGAAGAAGTGGTTGATTTTAGGTATTTAGGAAGTCAGATAAGTCAGGACGTAAGGAGTAGTAGGGATATATAGTAGAGGATAGCGCAGGGTCGAGTCGCCTTCCATAAAAAGAAGTCACTTTTGTGCTATCGAACGGTTAATTTAGAAATTCGAAAAAGATTATTAAAGGTGTATGTTTGGAGCATGGCGCTATACGGGTGCGAAACATGGACAGTGGGTGCGGCGGAAAAGAAGCGTTTGAAATGTGGTGTTACAGACGAATGATGAGGATTCCGTAGATAGAGAAGGTTAGAAATGAAGAGGTGTTAGAATGAATAAGAGAACAGAGGACTCTATGGAAGTTAATAAGAAATAGGCGGGATAGGTTGGTAGGACATCTCAGGCATGAATGTCTAGTCAGAGACATATTAGAGACAGAAACAGGAGTTAAGAGGAGTAGAGGTAGATCTAGATTAGATTGCCGTTCGCAAATAGTTAAGGATGTGGGTTGTTGTAGTTTTAGTGAAATGCGAAGATTAGCTCAGGATAGGAAAGAGTGGAGGTGCGTGTCCAACCAGTCTTGGGCCTGACGACCCTATGATGATAATGATGAATTGAAGACTATTTGTAGTGAATAAAGTTAATTCAAAAAAGGCTACTTTCGGGTTCTGATCAAATGATCTTTTGTTTATTTGAGTTGAGTTGAATCTTTTCTTTAACTTATTTTCTTTCTTTATTTCCTTTAAGAGCGTTTATTTCGTATAAAGGTGGACAAAATTTTAGTGGATCATATTTCATTTTTAGTGTTTATTACTTATTATACATGTATATCGAGAAATCTACGCCAATCTTAGGGTTTGTATTTCTTAGTAATTGTTCTTTGTAACGCACAGTCTCGTTCGTGCATATATACGCGGAAAACGATACATACATACATATATGTATGTATAGGTTGTACATTAGTTACGTATTATCGTGTATTTTTCAAGGGCAGCTTTTACCCTTTCTCTAGTATTATTTAATTGCCATCTCGCTTAGATTTATGTGTTTCCAACAAATGAAATGTAATCATTTCGACATTATCGGAAACAAAAAACGACAAGAATGAAGCAATCAGCGAAAACCTACAATTTTCTGTCAAAAAAAAAGTAACAAATTGTAGATACTTGTATATAAAATAATAATAAAAAAGATAAAATAAAGAACAAAAGCAACACAGTTGATATAAAAAAGACCCTGAAAAGTATCAATTAACAGTCGCAACAAAAATTCAAAAATACAACCACATAAATGTGAAAGGAATTTGCGTTTTTGGTTGGCGATGAAAGGGAAGGGGGGGATGATATATGAGGACTGAATGTTAGACTTCCGGTATATTATCCCTAGACAAAAAATTCCAGTCTCTCTGCAGTCTCTCAGAGTCTTTCAGAGTCTTTCAGCGTTTCTGAGAGCGTCTCTCACAATCTCTCAGTTATTGCCTAGGTGTTTTTATGGATCTCTCACAGTCTCTCTATGAGAGACTCGAACGATAAAATTGTTAATTCAGAGATTCGAATCTCTTTTGAGACTCGAGTCTCTCGTAGAAAGACTGGAATCTCTGAAATATATTGAACTTAGAATGTTTTAACCATGTCTATCGAGACACCACTTATTGAGAGATTCGAGTCTCTCGTTCAGAGATTCGAGTCTATCGTTCAGAGACTGGATACGAAATGAGGATCTCTCTATGAGCGACTCGAGTCTTTCGTTCAGAGACGCTAAACAGTTTTTTTGACAGTCTCTCTCAGCGACACCAGAGAGACTCGATGAGAGATGGAGACTCGAGTCTCGCTTTCAGAGATTCTGAGAGAGTGAACATTTTTATCTCGGGATATGCTCTGGTTTATATATATCGTTGGAGAAGTTATGATGTTAACTTATGAATGAGTGATTCTTCAATTATCGGAGAGCAGAGAGAAGGAATATATGAGGGGGTGAATGTTCAAAAAATTGATGGCGGATGTAGAGTTTACGTCATCAAGTCTATAGTTGGTTCAGGAATATTACATGTAAAAAATTACAAGCATTTGAAATGTGATGGTATAAAGGGATGATGAAGATGACGTGGACAGACAAGGTCCGAAATAGTAAGTCAGTGAATCCAGTGCTTTTACCGTTGCTTTTTGGATTAGCTCGTATAGACTGGGTACGCGATGAAGTAAACATAATCTTTCAAGAAGAATTTTACTGTAGTTTGTACTGTCCTTATTATATTTCTTAGGAGGTCATTTGACCAGTGTTAGAACCTGAACCCTCATATTAGTTGGTGCAAGGTATAAGGTAATGGTCGTTGCAGTGGGAGTAAAACATATACCTACTGGATCACGCGATTGTCAAGGATTAACACCAGTAGCTCAAGTTCTCACAATCAGTTCCAACAAAGGCACAAGGTGAACTTTTCATGCAATTTTAACGTCAAGTTGTTTGCAGAACATGTAGATTTTAAACTATTAGGTATGTGTAATTTTATATACTGGCTCTGGCATACTCGAGAGAGACTAAAGAAAGAGTAAAAGACTTTTTTATGCATGTATACATCTAAGATAATACTGCATATAATAGTTATACTGAGTGTTTCAATGTTGTATCTAGAAACGGCATCGAAATTTTCAGTAGGAATGGGTAAGAAACTCAATTGAAGACCCCAGGGTAACTCAGAATCTTTGAGATTTTTTGCCAAAGAAAGTCTCACACCACAAATAAAAGCCATAATTTGAAAATCACTTATTTCTTGTAGTTTAGCGACAATTAATGTTGAAAGACAAGGTTTTAGACATTTGTACTGAACTTTCTAGGACTGAAGAGAGTAACTAAACATTTTGATGATTACTTATGGTCAAATTTGATTTTTGAAGTGTATCAAAATTAAGTGGACTTTCTAAGAATAAGGTAGACGTAACCAATGAAGTATTGTTTGAAGATAAATAAAAGTAAAACAAAAATACTGGTATGAAAGGGAAGATAAAGTAAGGAAAAAGATAGGAGAAGTAAAATTAGAAGAAGTGACTGATTTTAGAAGGTTAGAAATGAAGAGATATTGGAAAGAATAGGAGAATAGAGGACTCTATGGAAAACAATAAAAAATAGGCGAGATAGGTTGGTAGGACACCTTTTCAGGCAGGAAGGTCTAGTCAGAGACATATTAGAGGCAGAAATAGGAGTTAAGAGGAGTAGAAGTAGATCCAGATTAGATTAGTGTTTGCAAATTGTGTGAGTTGTTCTATTTTCGGGGAAATGCGAAGATTAGGTCAGGATAGGAAGGAGTCTTAGGACTGATGCCCTTATAATGATGAACTAATGAAAATATGACCATTTCTTTTAAAATTTTCTCCACTTTATGAATAGTTCCTTCACCAATTAGAACCCCATAAGAGGCATTTTACAGTTATTGTACCTGTAAATATTGGAACCGAAGGGCCAGTAACAAGCAAGTGTAGTAGATGGTGTAATAAAAACTGCTTTATGTTTATGAGTCAAAATACCCTTTGAGCTTTATCGCATGCCAGTATATCGATACGGATACGAAGTTGTTCCATTTTTAAAAAGAATTAAGCCAATAGAAATTATGTGGGCTAATGATTTATTTTTACTGCATTCGGCCATAAAAACAACCCCCTTTTACAGACACGTGTACATACAAAACTGCCCTTATCTTTTAATCAATCTTAATCGAACGCCGATAGGCAGACACATGATGGGTGGTAGAAAATGGAAAACGCAATTAAAAATTTCCATCTTGGGCCTGACTTTCCTCTGGACTTTGACTGACCAATATATACACCCACCCAACCCCCCTCTATCCCTACGTACACACATACACAATATACATACAACGCAATCAGCCCTGACACGTCACCGTTCAAGGTTTTTAATAGGCAGCGATATTAGGGAATAAGTCGATGGAGTGGCGCGGATTTAGGATTCGGACGAGAGGGCTCGAGGGGGTGTGCATGACTTGCGGCTAGAAGTCGCGTTGTTAGCAAAATACCCTCGCGTGTTTTTCGTGTCTCAACTGGCCAACGGTCGCAGATTGCTGTGCAGATATTTCAGCGGCGTACCACAAATAAAAGACAAATAAAGTTCTAAAGTTCTCAAACCACAAGATCCACATTATTTATTTTAAAATCGTAAGATAACACTTACCACTCAGTTGGTGAGTCAATTAGCGTTCATTTAGACAGCAGGAAAAACAGTAATCAGATTTAAGAACCATTAGAAGTGAGTCAGGGTGGTGAGGCGGGTGACTGTTCCCACTCACCCTGACGGTTTCCCTGCATGTGGATAGAAAAGATTAGAGAACAGAGGGCGTCAAATAAGAAGTAGGCGAGATATATTGGTAGGGTACCTTCTCAGGCATGAAGGGTTAGGCGACAGCAAACAGTTAGGAACCATACCATTCATAAAATAAAGGCGCTGTATAAAAACTACTTCAAATCAATTTTCAGCTAACGAACACGCCAAATTAAGGCATAGAGTTGCTAATTCAGTTTACATTATTATCTTTACAATACACCGTTTTATATTGTTCCTGTTTTCATCGACGCGAAGAGGATTTTCTTCGAGCCAATTTTCCAACGTTCTTGTGGAATTAATTAATGGGCATAATTAAAAAATTTTACTTGCAAATGTCGGTCATTATCTCCGCCACTGGTGGGTCAGCTACATATTACCCTGTAAATCAGTAAACGCGATAAAGTACAAGACTCACGACTCGAACTCAGTGAAGTGTGGCCGCCTCATCATATACCACATAGCAGAAAAGAACGGGTAGTATTTGACCAATCCCCGACTACCGTAATAATTATAAGCCGATATTATTCTACTTTTTTGCGTCTAGTATGTATACCTATCACTACTACTTTCTTTTGTTTGATTGTTAGTCAGTTGTTTAGTATTTCTTCGAACATTCGCACCACAATTTCGATTTCCTTTTGCTTCGCATTAGTATCCATTCTTATTCACAATTAAATTATGTTTTTTTTGCGCATATTCGATTTTGTGCGAGTGATTCGCCGTTTTGGAAAATGAAAATTGTTTTTGTAAGAAAACAAACCTCTTTCAAAGAAATGCTTCGTAGTTGTTGAAGCACGATATATTCTTGGAAAGAGATTTTTTAATTGTGTTTGCTTTTTAAAAGTGAGTGCGGTCTAGATTGTAGTTATTTAAAGGGGCGGTGGCGGTTTTCCGAGAAAATGACATTTAATAACAGCGTGAAGTGGCTTAGCGAGAATTATGAACAAATGGGGTAAATTGACTGGGCAGATTCTAATAATTTACCCTTTTGGACTTGAGCATGGTGTATATTACGCAATTTGTTTAATGTTTTATATTACAAAAGCGTAATGATTTCTTTAGCTACCTTTTAGATGAATTAGATAATTGCTTAAACCAAGAATAATAATTAGCAAAAACAAGGCTTTTTTACTTATTAATTAGAATTCAAAAGGGTATAGCTAAATTTAGATACTGTTCAAATTTTATTGATTAATGATTTAATTGATGATACCAAATATCTGTTGATCACAGCGATCTCGAAAACGTTGAAGACGCTCTTCCTCAAAACGTTTGCCAACGGTTATCATCGTTCTTCAAAAGGAAAATGACCTGCGCTTGGTGCAATCGGAACCCAAAGCTGGTGCAGACAGCAAAAGAGAAACTGCCAACTAAATCGAACAAAGAGGGCAATGAAAAGAAGACCGTCGGTTGTTGGAATTGCCGAAGGAAGCTCAAAGTCAAGGAGAAAAAGGAGAAGATTAAGAAAGACTTGAATCTGGTCGGTGAAGATTCTGCAAAGAAGACGTGGTGGTCGAAGCTGAATTTGTTCAGGAAAGGACGCGTTCTTGATAAGGTTGGACCTCCATGGAACCAAAGGAGAAAGGCTTGGATGGAGAAGAAGTTTGGAAAGAAGAAAAGGGAGGAACAGGTGACAGGGACTCCCAAAAGGTAAGTCATATTTTCATCCAGGATGTCCAGGAAATCCTTCTTGTGTAAGTGAGTCAATTGTAATTGCGAAAATTGTTTTTCAAGGCCCCTGTGTGGAGGAAAGAGTTGTAAAGATGTTCTTAAAATGATGTTCTGTCTGTCCGCTTGTACCCGTTGTACGAAGAAGAGAAAAACACAAGAATTGGATATTCGCAGAACTGCATCGATAACCAGTAAAAAGAAGAGTTTGACACCAACCCTTCCAGTTGAGGTAGATAGTGGTATTATTGATTGTTATTATTATATTTAGGATGTTAAGTCAATAACAATCAATAATTAAAATTAAGCCAAAAATACAGAAAATATGAGCCAATAAAATAAAAATGTAGGCCTTATAATGCATTAAAAATTATTGATTGCTTCCAGAGGAAAAATGTTTTTGTTTGCGTTTTTCAGGACCCTAAACCGAAACTGGATCTTTCATTAGTAGAACATACTTCTTTAATGAAAGGGGCCATTCCAGTTTTACCGATCCCACTGGCATGGGTTTGCCTTTTTCTGAACGTTTTTCTACCAGGAGTTGGTAGGTTATCAGGCATAACGGTTTCATCTTTACAAATATATTCACCTTGTTACCAGGTACTGTTCTGAGTGGATTGCTATGTCTTTGTTTCGGAATACCACGCTTTTCGCAAAATGACNTTACGCAATGAAGTGTTATTGTAAAATATTTTTGTATAATAATTATCATCATCATCATCATCACATAGGGTTAGAGGGCCTTGGTACGTATAAATATTAAACCTTACAAACCGTTAAAGGATATGATATAGTAATGGGTTTCAAAATTCAGTATCTATTGCAGTGTTTTTTTTTTCAATTTAGAACCAAAGAAATTAATTTTTGATTATCTATTTTGTTTTGGTACATATTAATGCTATTTCATTTTATAAACTTATACAATTAAAAAGAAAACTCAAACATTTTTTAAATAAGGGAAAACCGAATTTGAGAAATCCTGATTTAATTTTGAAAAATCTGGTTAGAAATTTGGAAGAAGAAAAGTCACTCTAATTCATATTTGCCCTTCGACATTATTACAGAAATTACTAGGGAAGGTGGAACATTTTGCGATTTTATAACTACTTAAACATCAAATAATTATTCTAACAGCAGTTGAACTAGAAAAGTTCTAGTTGAGAGTCAAAAAAAAATATTGAAATTATAAAAATAATATTCGAATTCAACATACTCTGAATAGCTAGAATCGTGTCTCATATATTTAAAATTGAAGAAAAATATTGTTCAATTTTGATGACCCGTGAAAACTACCCTTGGAATCCCCTCTATTATTCTTGTCTATAATAATGTCATATGACCCAATGACCCATTACAAAGGACAAATTTACATCAGAGTGATTTTTCCTCTTTATGATCATATGCTTCCATGGACATGTTATCTAATAAATAATAAATATGCATTAAAAATTATTGATTGCTTCCAGAGGAAAAATGTTTTTGTTTGCGTTTTTCAGGACCCTAAACCGAAACTGGATCTTTCATTAGTAGAACATACTTCTTTAATGAAAGGGGCCATTCCAGTTTTACCGATCCCACTGGCATGGGTTTGCCTTTTTCTGAACGTTTTTCTACCAGGAGTTGGTAGGTTATCAGGCATAACGGTTTCATCTTTACAAATATATTCACCTTGTTACCAGGTACTGTTCTGAGTGGATTGCTATGTCTTTGTTTCGGAATACCACGCTTTTCGCAAAATGACGGGGCAAGACAACGAATTGGCTCATTTCTTATAGACATTGTCATAGGTTGTGGTCAATTGTTCACAGTTTTGTTCTGTCTAGTCGGCTGGGGATGGTCCATATGGTGGGGAGTCATTATGATTAAAATTGCAAGTAAGTTCTTTCCAGTGCATATCAATTATTATTAACAAACAAATTAAATTGTTTTCTAATCAAATTTGGTGATACTTCCAAAGTAGAACACAAAGAGTCCAGAATCCATGGGCTGAAGGGTCTTGGTCTAAACGAACCTTAAGTCCACGTGTTTCGTCTGTAGGTGTGGCTGTCATCTTCAGTGGTACTGCGTTGGGCTGACAGCGTGGACGAGTTATACCTTGGCAGCGATTGAGAGACTTCGAGGTATAATCTTCGCCCACGGTGTCAGCGTAACACACCTGAAGATGTTAACCGCGGTTTTCGACGAAACGTCTGTCCCTGACGGTTCATTTAGGTCACGGACTTTAAGTCCACGTGTTTCGTCTGCAAGTGGGGCTGTCACCTTTAGTGGTACACTGCGTTGGGTTGACAGCGTGGTTAGAAGGTAATACCTTGGCAGCGATTGAGAGACGTCGAGGTATAATGTTCGCCCACGCTGTCAACTCAGCACAACTGAAGATGTTAGCCGGAATTGTTGACGAAACGTCAGAATCTAACGGTTCACTTAGACCAGGGGTGAGCAACCTTTTTAATCAACGGGCCAATGTAAATTTTTTGGCGGGCCGCACATAAAGTAACACTTATTAATAATTTACAAAACTTTATTTATGATAAACATTAAAATAAAAAAATATAAAAGATTAAAAATACAAATTTTAATGCAAAATAAAAACAAACAAGAAAAGAACAATAAAACGAATTGTCTTGAAATTTTTAATGAGAAATTTGGCACTGTTTTTTCGATACAAGCTGGAATCAACCGGAATACCTACACGTACGCAGCTTTCTAATCGTGCATCACTCAGTCTTGATCGGTGGTCATTTTTGATTAATTTCATGGTTGAAAATAATTGTTCGCAAACATATGTACGTACTTCCGAACAGAGACATCATTTGCTTTGCATTTTTCGTCAAAAGCGGAAATTTCTCAGGGCTCACATATGATTTATAAAAATTTTTGATGTTTGCTGAGAAAAACACATTTTTTAAATCGGTATTATTCTGCATGTCAATCACTTCCATTTGAAAGTCTTCG